TGCTTCATGAATGGCAGATACAGAGGTGGCTGGGGAGTAGGTGACTTCCTGAATGTGCTCCTTCATTTGCAGCAATGTCTTGATGAGGTCCTGAATCTCAGAAATATTGGGAGTTTTGGGAAACGTGTGCTCAGTGTTGAAAATCCATTGCATAATGAAGGAAGCCCTGGGGAAGTCCTTAACAGAATAGATGTGAGGATGCAGCAGGCACTGCAGCAGAGATTTGATGTAGATGATGTTTTGTGGAGCTGATTTTTGGCAAAACAGAACAGTATTCACCAGGAACTCCTGCAATGCCTTATGTGACAGGCATACATTGATCCAGACACTGAGATTTTTTGCTTTTTCATACAGAGCCTGTTTGAAATCAATCAGTGTGAGCAGTTTCCTTTCATCCCCAGTGACCTCCCAGGTCTTCACGTGCTCCAGAAATGATCTGGCCTCTTCCACAGCACTGGCCAGTTCCTCTCCAAACACTGTGCCAACACTGTGATTCGTGAGTGCTTCATATGCAGCCCTGAGGCTGCTGCTCATCTGATAGGTGGATTTAAAATCACCGCTGTGGTTGGACAGGATTATGTCCCACACTGGGATCAGCTGAAAGCCCCTGTCGATAACACACCAGGTTGTGTTACTGGCCACAAGCCCACACTTCCACTGGGCAAGGCAATCTGTCTCTGATGGACCCCCTGTGTTGGTCACGGAGAGCTGAATCGCTGTGTGGCTGCTGCCTCTATCGCTTCTCTCAAGTGATGCCTGTGAGCTGGACTTTGAAACGTCAACATTCATTCCCACACTGACAGCAAAGCTGCTGAAGCTTGCCCTGACAAAGCAGTTCAGTGCTTCAGATGCTTGTTGCTTCATCTCTTCCCTTTGCTCTTCCCTGAATCCTTCGGAAGATGCTTTCCACCAGAATATGCCCCCGAAGTGGAGGGGTCCCTGGTTGAGGTGGGACCCAAACCTGCTGAAGAAGCTGGCACACCTGCTCTTCAGCATGTTGAGCCTGTCTGCCTCCTGGGTGATGCTCAGAAGCTCCTCGATGCATTGCAGCTCTCTCAGGGCCCCATCTGAGAGGCGAAGCTGGTCCTTTTGGAAGTAGCAGGAGGCCAGAGGGGTGTACTGGTACTTGGTGGTACAAATGTATGTCTGCTCTGAACGTGAGTGGTGAGTGTCTTCCTTGCGTGAGGAGCTGCTGTAATCTTCACCTTCTTCAACACTGATGCCCCAGAACCCGGCTTTGGCAGAAACGCTTAGGCTGAACCCCGCTGCTCCATGGACTTGGTGAAATTGGCTTCTGCTGCAGAGGAGGAGAACTCCTTCCTCTCAAGCAGAGACCCTTGCTCCGGGCCAGCAAGCTTGAAACCCGTGGGGACTCTGATGAGCTGCTCTCGCTTTGTCAGCACATCTGCCAGGCTGTTGGTTCGGTAAACGCCCTGCAGAGCCAGGCCTCCTGATGCCCGTCTCAGGACCTCCTCATCAGAGACATTCTCACTCCTGCCCAAGGACATCTCCTGCTGCTCCAGTTGCTTCTGGATGCTTGCAAGCACATCTGCCAAGGCCTTCTCTGGTGGTGCCCAGTACTCCCTGGGAATGTCCATGGCTTGCCATAGTGCCTCCTCTTTCTGTGTTATCATCTCCTTGCTATAGCTGTGGCTCTGATGCATATCTTTCAGCTCCTGCATGGCTCGCTTAGTTTCTTCTTGCCTCTGCTTCATCATCTCCAGGCGCTGCTTCTGCAGCTCCTCAGCAGTTGCTTTGTTGTCTGTAATTTGGAGAAGCTTTCGGAGTGCCGTTTTCTCCCAGGGGTACCGTACCTCACTCTCCAGCTTCAGATAATCTTCATATTGCAGATGCTTCAAGGCTTCTTTTGATTTCACACCTAATACCTTCATCAGCTTGGGAAGCCAGTATCCTCCATCCAGTCCTTCGCTCTGAAATGTTTCTGCCAGCAGTTGTTTAGCAAGATTTGCCTTTTCCAAATCCTCTGCTCTCTTCTCCTGGGACTCCATGGCTGTGGAAGAGGTAAACAGATTGCAGTTGAAGGCACATTAGAAGAGCCACCACTTTTTCATAGAAAAGGCCTCTCCACAGCTTCTTCCCAGAGGATTCTTCCCACCTGGCTGCTAGAAACCAAGTTTGGCCACCCAAGAAACAGGTTGGTATGGACAGACACCCAAACACACCCTGGACTTGGCTACACAACCAAGCATGGGCAGGGAGCTGCCTTCAGCAGCACCCATGTGTGTCCGCCAGACTGCTCTCACCTGTCACAGGCTCTCCTTCCTTTCAGCGCACAGACATGAGGTAGAGTGGGATTGCACACTGTGAGAAACATGTTCAAAATCAAAAATTTCTAATCAGAGAAATATCTTCATGAATCACAGAATCATAGAAATGCTCAGGTTGGAAAAGACTTTAGTGATCATCAAGTCTGCCCGCAACCTAAACATACAACCCTAACAACTCTCTGCTAAATCATTATCCCTGAGCACCACATCCAAACGTATTCTAAACACATCCAGGGATGGTGACTCAACCACGTCCCTAGGGAGCCTATTGCAGTGCTTAACAACCCTTTCTGTAAAGAAGTTTTTCCTGATATCTGTCCTAAACCTGCCCTAGCGCAACTTGAGGCCATTTCCCCTTGTCCTGTCACAGGAGCAGTGAAGAGTAGTTTATTCATTATTGCAATAACGGGTGCACACCCCCTACTGACAAGGGAGAAAGTGAGCACCTAATCAGTGAAATCCATTCTGTTATATGCCCTGGGTCTGACGCAGGTAATGCCTCTGCCGGAACTCACTGGTTGAGCGTCTCAGGCTCACAGTCTTCCCAATGTTGTTGCTACAATGCCTTTCCATACAATGTCTGTTAACAACCCACTGTTTTCAGGCTTGTTCTGTACTCTTTGTGGTGATAGGAGGGCAATGTTTCCAAAAACTAGCACATTGTTCTGTCCTGTGCTAGGCTCTCCCCTACCCTACATAATGTGCCAAGTCTACCCTGGTCTGAACGCCTCTGTCTCAACTTTACTCTGTTCAGCAGCTTTCTTGGTGAAAAACAACTTATCCTACACAACATACAGGAATACTGGAAATTTCCACAGCAAAAACACAACCTACCTCTCACAACAGGGACAGAGAGGGAAGGATTTAATATGGAGGCCGGACAGAGTGCAGTGACCAAAGCTGGGCTTGCTCAGACAAGTGATCTGCCACTGGTCTCATGACAGCAGCCCCTTTCACATCGTCTTCTGCCTATTCCTCTTTTTTAGTCCCCTTCCGTTTCCCTTCAACATCATTCCACAGGCTGTCCTCAAATATCTCAAAGTTCTCCTGTTCCCTGTGGTTAATCCAAGTTGAGTCCCTCCAGAGCAGGGCCCAGAGTGTTCTGTCACCCATGAAGCAGCCATTGGAGACTTTGGGTCATCAGCCTTTGCGGGAATTCAAGATAGAATCTTAAGAGCAGAAGGTGCAGAACAAAATTGACATTAGGAAGGTCAAATGATGAGAACAAAGGACTCCTTCAGGAGACAGAAACAAGAATCAAGCGAGCCACATGATCCGTGCAAAGTAACGACTGTGATTAGAGGAAGACTTTGATTGGATAAATGCCTGCATGCATGGTTAAGGAGTAGACCATGGGTGACTGTGTGAAATGTTTTGTTGACACGTAAAAGTGGGTGGGAAAGTTACAAGAGAGAACATGGGAATGTAGATAAGGGATGTCAGAACCTGCAATGAATTGAACGATTTTGATTGTTCCCACATCTGAGTCTGTGCCCTTAGGTGCTGCAGCTGGTGCCCAGCAAGTCAGTGCTCTCCACCAGCGAGCACTTGATGACAGCCTGCAGCACGGTGACTGATATGGAGTTCATCCCGCCCCACTGTGTCACACAGGTGGGCTGCAGGGAGCTCACCCACTCCAGGATCTCGCTGTACTTGATGGGCTCATCCAAGTTCAGCAGGTTGGGGTTGATGCTGCGGACAGCATGCATGTAGGCCTGCAGCAGCTGAATGCCACACTTCTGCTCCGCTTGCTGATGCTCGTGTTCCACTCTGGTCTTCTCCAGCTCAGTGATTCTGTTCTGCTGCTTGCTGCTCCTCTGATCTTAAATGTTTGATGCAGCTGTGGTTTAGCAGTTCATCTTTAGGCATTTCCAAGCAACATCCCTGCCTTCATGTCACCAAACACTTGTGGTTGTGTTTGCAGTCATTTATGTGAGACATCAGGCTGTAGAGCTGCACTACTGCTGTATAGCTGAAAACAGAGTTGTTACAAGTAACCTGCAGCTTCAAGAGCATATTACGCATAATTCATGGGCCAGGGCGGAGGTGGGTGACCATCACCATGCTGCAGTCCACAGGGTAGGTCTGTTGCTGGGAGAACCACTGGATGATGCTGGCACTGCAGAAGGCTTGTTTACAGTGAGGAGACAGAATCGGCTCCTCCAGGACCCCACTGAAGATGGGGCATAAAAGATCTTCATCAACATCCCCCTGAAATAGTGCTACAGCATTTCCCATTGCTTGTCACCAATGCCAGAACCCAGGGGACTGGAGCACCTCCACTTTGAAGACAGGCTGAGGGAGCTGGGCTTGTTCAGCCTAGAGAAAAGAAGGCTGCGGGGTGACCTCACTGCAGCCTTTCAGTACCTAAAGGGAGCCTACAAAGAAGAGGGGAATCAACTCTTTGAAAGGGTGAGTGACAGCAGGACAAGGGGAAATGGTTTTAAGTGAGGGAGGGAAGATTTTGGTTGGATGTCAGGGGAAGTTCTTTACTATGAGATTGGTGAGGTGCTAGAACAGCTGCCCAGAGAGGCTGTGGATGCCCCGTCCATCCCTGGAGGTGTTCAAGGCCAGGTTGGATGGAGCCCTGGGCAGCCTGGGCTGGTATTGAATGAGGAGGTTGGTGGCCCTGTGTGTGGCAGGGGGTTGGAGATTCATCATCCTTGAGGTCCCTTCCAACCCTGGCCATTCTGTGATTCTGTAACCCTTCCTTTGCAGAATTCCTCCTTGAGTTTTACAGAAGCAGCTGTGGCGATGGGTCACTCTTTTCAGGGAGGTGCTCCCAGCGGCCCATCTTTTCCCCTTCCTTCTCTTACAGTCCAAACATCTTTCTTCGAGGGCTGCGAGCTGCTGCCACTGGAGAGTTGTGAGGCCCAACAGCTCTCCTACCCGCACCCGGCCCAGTGCACAGCCATGAGTTCCTTCACACTGCACAGCTCGGGTCGGGAGCAGCACCACACCAAGGCCTCCCACAGTGCTGCTACCAACAAGGAACAGGGGCTAGGAGCAGCCTCTGGAGGATGGAGGCTGCCAGGGAGGGCCAGGAGACGACAAGAAGGGGGACCCTCAGAACAGTACACCATGTGCAGACATTAAATGATATGCAAAATTATTAGGGGGCATCAATTGGTTGCGACCACTTCTGGGTATTACTTCTCAAGAGCTACACCCTCTATTCCCTCAAAGGAGACTCAGATCTAACCTCTAAGCAGCAATTAACACCAAAAGTACTACTTAGACTTAGTTATAATATTATTGCAACATCAATACAGCCATCCTGTTTGTTTATCACTCCTGGTATCTTTTATAATAATATCAAACTCTTACCAACCATGCAGCTTATTATGTCAATGAAATAGTTCAAGAAAAGATCCTTTCATCATCCTCAAATGGATATCTTTACCACACCAATTTTCAAAAACCATTACATCATGAGTGGAGATGCTTGCAATGCTAATACAGCAAGGTCAACATCGTCTCCAAGCTTTATAAGCTTCTGACCTTGATTGCATCTACATAACCACTACTAAAAAGGATTTAGTTTGGATGCTTGTGCATTTGCTCACTTTGCAAACTGCAATGGCTGACAAATTGGACAAATCTACACCCATCCCCTTAGAAAAACCATTCCAAATGACAGAGGATCAAGGCTGTAACGTTTTCTGACATGCCCAGACTGCCAGGCAATTGCCCTTTTGCCTCCAACAGGGACAAATCCCAATGGCACAGCACCTCTTCTACTCTGGCAGACAGATGTAACTCATGTTGAACAATTTGGCTGTCTAGAATATGTGCATGTAACAAGAGATACTCATTGTTCTTACATATTTGCCACAGTGCATACAGGTGAACGTGGTCGTGATACCTGCCAACATTGGTTATCTGCGCTGCTATGGGGATCCCACATACTATAAAATGGATGATGACCCTGCTTATACTTCCAGGGCCATTCATATAGTTCTAGAGGAATGGAGGGTTAGACATGTTACAGGCATTCCCCATTCTCCCACTGGTCAAGCTATCACTGAATGTGCTCATCAAACACTGAAATGAAGATAGATTATGTAAGGCTTTGCTTATGCTGGATTTTTTGAACTGCGATCATACAGATACAACTCATGTAGACCACCATTTTGGGGCCTTCCCAGTGCTCAAGGAATGCTAGATGGTTAATATTCGAAACACGGCCAAAGGGCATTTGGAAGGTTCCTTACCATTGATAACTTGGGTCATGGATATGCTTGTATTTCTATGGGGACTAGCCCTAGGTGGGTTCCAGTGCGATACATTCAGCCTCATCTCAAGGCAGAGAATAGCATCCAACCCTTATAATAACTGAGATTATGTGTTACTTACTAAGTGGTATTGTTTGGTAATTTGTTGTATTGTGGATAACTCATGGGTGCTTCAAGAATTAGAATTATTAGGCACTATCTAGGCTGCTGGGTGATTCTTCCTGAATTTTAGTGTGGTCAAATGTGAATTGAACAGAATTCAGTATTTCTGGTGCTGGAATCTATGAGAAAAGCTCCTTTAGTGTAATTTCACCACCCCATTATCAGTAACGCTGGTCATGGTGCATTTAGATTACCAATTAACCTTTTCTTAATTTGTGGAGGCAGAACCTGGAACGGAATCCCAGGCAAAGCTAACAGAGGACCCAGTACTATAGGTCGATTAACTCTCTTTCATCCCACTACTCAGCTTTAAAAATATGACCATGCATCACTCAAGACGCACGCTATCTTACTTTGATTCCACATGGGATTGCAATATAGAACTGTGGGATACAAATATTTTGGCTCACTGCTCCCTTCATTTGGCACCTCTGTCAGGGATCTAAAGCCTCCTGACTGAAGAATGATCCTGGCATGGAACAAGTTTTCTGACAGTTTTAAGGAAACTGACATTTGTGGTTGTAGTTGCAAATATCTTGTTCTGTAGAGAGAGCTGACCTTGGTAGTTTATTTCGTTTCTGCAAAGACTGCTTTTGGAAGCCAGTGTTCCACTTGGGCTCTGAATCATGCGCTGGCCATGTGGATACAGCGTGCAAATGGAGAAAGCCTGGGGAGAATAAAAGCAGGAGAGAGGCCGCGGTGGGAGAGAGAAGAAAAGTGCCCCTTGAAGCAGGGGACGCCCTGCTGGCACTGCCTATCGCATCACTGCCAGCACGTGCCTTCTCTCTCCTTTCTGGGGGTTTGCCATCTCTCAAGGGTTGGTAAGTTATAGTGCACCTGCTTAGGGAGTTTCTGCTTCCTGCTTACAGGGATTATCTGAAATGGATGCCTGTGTGTTTGACTGTATGTATGTTGAACAAAACTCATAACCCTCTGTGCAGCTCTGAGTGCATAGTTTGCTTGCCATTGCTCCTGAGACATCCTGTCTCTCAGATCCAAATGCACCCTGAAACAGCACAGCTGAAGCTTCAGCCACACTCACCAAGTTCAGATGCTGGCTGGCTAAGAGAAACAGTGTGGCTACTGATGCTCTAGCAGGCTTGCCCACTGATGTTGTTTCTATGCGACATGCAACTTCACAGAATTGTGTGGCCATTGATTTTCTATTATTAAATCAGGGGCATGGTTGTGGGGATTTTAAAAGCATGTGTTGTTATAATCCTAGTGATCATTCAAAATCAGTACATCAGAATATAGAAAAATGATGATTTTCCCTAGTCAGTTACAGCTACACACAGAATGGGACCCTCTGGGATTCTTTTCCAAGTTGCAGGGATTTGGGCCATGGGCCAAACATGTTTGTTCTTTTTTGAGTGGTCTAATAACATTTCTTGGCATTATCCTGTATTCGCCTTGTCTCTTGCGTTCAGCATGTTGTCTGTCAAAGCCTTGATGAAGGAATGATAACCCAAATGCATACAACAGTGCTGTTACACAAAATGGAGGAGAAAGGTCTAAGTCATGCAGTTGGGATGCCGTGTACAAGACATGATCATATTGTTAATCTGATTAGTGCCATTATTTTGAATTTTTTGAATTATGCTAATATTTTGCTCATAAACAAAAAAGGGGGAAATGTGGTAATTCAAGATATGATATTCAGAGCGGAAGCTTCATAAGAAGATTAAGAGCATGAAGATTGGAATGCTGATAACAAAGGATGGCTTCAGGAGACAAGATCAAGAGTCAGTTGAGCCATGTGATGGCAGCAAAATGATCTTCTTGATTGGAGGAAGAGTGCATGGTTTGGAACGACTTATAACTCTGATTGGATAAGTGCCTGCATGCATGGTTAAGGAGTAGACCAGGGGTGACTGTGTGGAATGTTGTGTTGACATGTAAAGAGGGGAGGGAGGGGAAGCTACAAAAGAGAAACTGGGAATGTATATGAGGGATATCAGAACCTGCAATAAATTATTTGGATCGTTACTGCATCTGAGTCCATGCCTCCAGATGCTAATCCCACCAACTACATGCAACAGCCTTTTCATCTCAGGAATTGATGCCTGGCTCTTGTTACTATGTTCTTTTGATTCTTGCAGAGCCTTTGTTCCCTCTTTTCCTTTATGCTAAGGGGAAGATTTAAGAAAAAAACACCAAATGGATTTGTAGTCTGAGTCATCTCACCTCCCAGCAGGAGCTCCTGGTGGTGATGCTTGGCTTTCTAGTGGACGCAGGGCACCAGGGCCCAAGTGAGGCAGCACACAGTCACTTGTCAGGCCTGGTAGAAAACGCAGGGTTGTGAAGAAGGAGAAGCTAAGGACCACTCCAAGAATTCAGTTTATCACTGCCCCCATTACTTATCATTGCATTGGTACTGGAACAGTCCTTAACTGGATAATGGTAAGGAAGCCAATGCTCTCACTGTCTACATACCCTTACCGTGCTGTCATACCGAGCTGACAGTCATCTCTGTCTCTATTCAGGTGAAGAAATTTATTCAGTGCCAAAACCTTCCTGTGAAATCAGCTCTCATCCCACCAACAACATGCTACAGCCTTTCCATCTCAGGAATTGATGCCGGGCCCTTGTTACTGTGCTCTTTTGACTCTTGCAGAGGCTTTGTGCCCTCTTTTCCTTTATGTTCGGGGAAGATTTAAGTAAGAATAATAAATGGATTTGCATTCTGAGTCCTCTCACCTCCCAGCAGGTGCTCCTGGTGGTGACGCTCAGCTTTCCAGCGGACGCAGGGCACCAGGGCACGCGGCCCAAGCGAGGCAGCACACAGCCACTTGTCAGGCCTGGTAGACAAGGCAGGGTTGTGAAGAAGGACTTGGGCACCACTTCAAGAATTCAGGAGGAAAAACACGAGGAAATGTCCAGAATCCTAAGGGAGAAAAACAGGTTCTCAGGAGAGCATAATATTTGAAAAATCATGGCTGACCAGTGAAGTCCCTGGTGATTGCAAAAAAGGAAACATTTCTTCCATTTTTAAGAAAAGTAGAAAGGAAGACC